ATCACCATCATCACCATCATCTTCATCGCTTGATCTTAATCTTCATCATTTTCATCATCATCTTCCTTTTTCGTCTTCATCAGCATCGTCATCATCACGTCATCATCGTCATCTGGGTAATGATAGTGGTAATCACAGTGGCAGTGGTACCAATACGAATAGTAACAATCGGAATAACCAGTCATACTCCCAATATAGAAACACACATTAACAGGTAATAGTAGCTCTCAAATGCCCCTGTGCTATCTTCTCCATCGTCATGGTTTTGATGCTGACTGCAAGATGTAGTCATACTGGCAGCAGTTTTCTAGCCCTTATGTATCCTCTTCTGGGCTGTCGGGTTTCGGAGTTCGGACGGGGGTCTTCAGATCCTGTGCACGCATTTGTGGTCTCTGGACACAGCTTGAGTTAATTTTTTAGTTTAGGAGTTTAGGGTTCAGGGTTTTCGGTGCATTTAAAGTTTGGTTTCGGGGTTTGGGGTTCATGTAGAGTTTAGGAGTTTAGGGTTGAGTGTTTTTGGGTTCATTTAGAGTTTGGTTTCGGGGTTTTGGGTTCATGTAGTTTTGGGTTCATGTAGAGTTTAGGAGTTTAGGGTTCAGCGTGTAGGAATTTAGGGTTCAGGGTGTTTGGGTTCGTTCAGAGTTGACGGGTTTAGGGTTCAGGTTTTTCGGATTCATGGAGGGTTTAGAATTTCAGGGTTTGTAATGTAGGGGCCTCAATAATTACCAATACTGTTTTGGGTGTTGCTTATTATAATTAGAGTATAATGGGTCCCAAAACCCTGTTCTAATTATTTAGGCCCCTATAGTAGGTTTGTGGATATTGGCTGCGTTGTTTTTCCCCGCATAAAGACTTCGACCAAGGACCCATTTAGGGTTTAGGGTTTAGGGCCATCGGATTCTGTTTCGGGGATGTGTGGGTCCTCGAGCCTGTTACCGATGTTCTGCGTGGTAGAACATCTCAGTGACCCTCGCCGTTTCGAGGTTGCCACGTTCTCAATTCTCAAAGGATTCAGAACATAATATAACTCCACATATAAGCACAAATACAGTTATATATATATATATATATTACATAGTATCATATGAATATCATTTGCTTATATTTTTTTACCATACTACAATATGCCATAAGAAACTATCATGTACCAGATTATTGCTATGCTCCCCTAGTCCTAAGTTGAGCCAGTTCCCCCCCCCCCCCCATGAAGAACTCAACTTGAAAGGACCCGTGCTGCCAGCGCTGATGGCCCCAAGAGCCCTGCTATACACAGAGTGCCGCGGAGGTAGGGTTTGTGCTTTGGGTCTCCGGTCAGGTTCGAGGCTTTATTGCCTTTCATGGGTTTAGTCTGGGACACTTTCAGGTTGGGTAGTTACCGTTTTAGGAGCCTTATAGAAGGTCTATATACCTCATGGAAGCTTTATAGAAGCCCTATATACCCTAATGGGTTCAGGATTGAATGTGGTTGTCATCGTTGCTGTCTTCGCTTGTGCTCCTTGTAGCTGTTGTTGGTGTTGATGGACATCGCGGCTGGCATCATCGCCACGATCGGATTTTCATCATCGCACCATGGTGTGAATCGTGTAGTTCTCTGCGGTTGTTGTTTCTGTTCCCGATCGCTTTGCATCCAGGTGAACTTGGATTAAGGTTTATGAATGAATGAACCGAAGCAGGATCACTAACCCCAGTCACAGTTTTGGCGGGCTTCCGATCTTTTAGCCTCCTGGATGCAGCAGGAACGCCAGACCTTTCGTGCAGCATGCCCTAGACTCTAGACGCTGAAATTTACAATCCCTGTACCCTTTGAAAACTCTTTACCTTCATCCCTAAACCACAGGCTATATCATTACACAGCTAGCATTACCTATATTCCAAAGCCGGCAAACGATATTTATACTCCTGACCCTAAACCACAAGCCTTAAACCCCTCAACCCCAATACCTAAACCCTAATCCCTAAACCTTAACCACCTAAACACGACTCCCTCGACCCTAAACCCTTAAACTAAATCCCCAAGAAGGCCATGGGGCTCTGCCCTGGTGAAGCCACGCCGGGGCCCAAAGTCGGCCGCAACCGGCGCAGCGACAGAGGCCGGGGCAGGCACCAGTTGCCCATCGTCGCAGGCCTGGGTCCCGGGATCGCCATAATGCTGTTGATGATATACATCCTGCATTACCTGAAGGACCCTAAACTATGGGAATTATGGTATAGTCCTTATTATGGTTAATGCAGGATCTATTTCATCAACCGTAGTGATGATGGTAAAAAACATTACTTTAATAGGTAATTAATAGTAAGAATAGTAATACTAGTGGTATTAGTTCTGGAGGAAGAGGAGAGCAGGCTGCTGTGGGGCCTGGGATTTTGCAGACCCATCTTTTGTATCATATTTACGTTCTAACTATTTCAAAAACTTCTAAGGTACACGCGGCAGTACACCACAAAGTAGCGTTCACTTCTATTCCTGAGTAATGTATTCCAAGGTCAAGTTTAGCCTGTGCATCGTCAGACGTCAACGGATACGACACCGCAGTGTTGGCTACGTATTCAATCTTCTTCCCACAACAACTATCGCAGGCAGGATCCTCTTCTGCAATAATAGTAGTAATAATTGTCATAATAGTAATTATAGTAATTGTAGTAATGCCAAAGCTCACTGTGCACGCGCTTGTTGCAACACGCGCGGGGGAAGAACACGCACGACACGGAAAAAACACGCAGATGACTATTCCCTGTGTCCGGGAAGGAGGGAGATTATGTTCGAGCTTGTCTTAATCGTATATTGCTTGCGGCAAAGGGGGAGGAGAGTTTACCATTCAGGCCGGCCAAAACGCAGTATGTTTGTGGCCAGGAGGGAGGGGAGAGTGCGTTCTCGAAGCCTAAGAATCATAGCCGTTTTATCTTAGACAGCCAATGGGGGAACTTCTCAACAATTTGGCGTTACATACATGGTCCATCTCAGAAACGTTAATAGTTTTCGGGCTCCGGTATTGAAATAGAGGGGTTTCGGGCTGAGGGAGCAACATGCTGCGGTTTTGGTTTGCCGGGTTTGGGGGTCTTGGGCTGGGGCTTGAGAGCTTTGGGATCATTGCCATGTTTGTTATCATGATGCTTCTTCTCCTCCTCCTTTTTATTCTGCTTCTTCTCATGGTCCTTTCCCATGGTCATTCTTGTTGTAGCAATGAAGACGAGGCATCTCATGCGCTTTCTGTAAGATTGTTTATTGGTTTTTTCCCTGATTACCCTTCAGCACCTCATACTTTTAAACGGCTGCAGGCCCTTCAGACTCCCATAAACCTGTCTATGACAATCTCATAGAATCACACAAACCCTGAAAAACCGAATAATGAGAACCCTAAACACGAAATCCAGCAAGTTCTCCGCGAAGCAACTCTACAAAGAAATATATCCGTTCAAGAACCCTTATAAAGCCCTCTTAGAACCCCTGCGAAACCTTGTTGCGAAGCTGAACACCATCTCCAAGCACTTCTTCCGAGACTTATCTCAAAGCTTTATAGAACCTTTCCAACCCTTACAAAACCCTTTTAGAGCCTTGTTATGTCTTGGAGCCCTTCAAGAACCTTACAGAAGCCTGTTATGTCTATAAACTTAGAGAACCTTGTTATGTTTATGAAACCCGTATACAAACCTTTTCCAACCTTGCTATGCCTATAAAACCCGCATTGAGTGCAGCATAAAGTCTGTTATGTCTACAAACACTTTCTGCTAACTCTCTAAGGAGCCCTAACCCCTAAACCCCTAGACCCCTAACCCCTAAACCCCTAAACCCCTAAACCCCTAAACCCCTAAACCCCCCCAGCCGCTGATGCTCATCCAGACCAACACGACTGAGGCGGTTCACAACATCCCGGAGATGGCCCCAGTCCCGCAGGACCCGCACATGGATCAGCTGAGGTTCGGGATGATGTGTCGGCGACGCACACACCCTGCACGCCCTGCCTCCTCGCTGGAAAGTGGCAGTGCTCGTGTGGTGAGGCACGTCTTGCATGCCGAAGGCCCTGACATGCGTCCTCGGCATCCTGGACCCGGTGCTCATCCTGCTGCTGTGCCACTCCCGCCTCGCCACCCGCCTCCGAACTGGGAAGCTCGTCGCGTGCCTGGAGATGCCTCTGTACCTCGGGGAGATCCTCGTGCCGGTCGTCGGGGTGATCGTAGCCGTAGCCGTGATGACGAACATGAGGATGAATGGGGTGACGACTGAGCCCTCGCACATCAGTGAGGAAAACAGACGGCCATGGCTAGTTTTCGCGCACGAGTGAAGAACACAGAAGGCCATGGTAAGTTCCGCTTTCAAGGGCAAGCAGTGAGAGGGGATTTATTCTAGGTGTTGGGCCCTAAGGGCTGAGACTCGACCTCTGCAGAGAGAAAGTCCCACAACACACTTAAAAAAAAAAACCCCTAAACCCCTAAACCCTAAACCCCTAAACCCCTAAACCCTAAACCCCTAAACCCCTAAACCCTAAATCCTACTTGGAGGATCATGGGACTTAGTAAGTAAGGTTATAAGTCCCCTAATCGGGGTTATTAGTATAGTTACCTTAGTTATAACCCTACTTACTAAGTCCCATGATCCTTTAAGTAGACCCCAAACCGTTTGCAGGCACTGCTTCGGCGCCCTCCTCGCCCCGATGCAGACGCGCCGCGTTCCGAGGCCGCCCGCGCCGGGGCGCTGGCGGCGATGGCGGCGGACGATGCAATGCAGGCGGGTTTAGGGTTTAGGGTTTAGGGCTAAGGGTTTAGGGTTTAGGGCTAAGGGTTTAGGCTTTAGGGTTTAGGGTTTAGGGTTTAGGAAGGGCTTGCAGTGGGTTTCAGGGTTGGGCTTGGGGTTTCGTACTGCGGGTTGGAGCAAGGTGCGTACGAAGGTTTGGGTTACCAGCATGGTTCATCTGGATAATATATATGCGGGTATAGTTCTTCGGCTCTTTTACGGCATTTGGTTGGAGGGTGTTGGGTTTGGCGTGACTATCACAGTATTGTCCCCGAATTGCACCTGAAGCCGTCAACCCTCAAATCCTTATGCCGGAGGGGCCAGGGGTCAGATGCAAGTTTGAATTCATGAGGATTCCAAAGACCCTTTGATGATGCAGCTCCCAACCCTTCAACCTTCGACCAGCCTTGTCCCAAAAATCCTTTAATGCAAAACCCCAAGCCGTCACCAGCACTGGCGCCGTAAACCGTACATGCCTGAGCCTCCTAACCCCTAAACCCTAAACCCTAAACCCTAAACCCTAAACCGCAATCCCTAAATGCCTGAGCCGACCCAAGACCCGAAACCCGGAAACCGTGCTTGCCCTCAACTCGAAGCCTTCCCAGAGTGCCCTATGCCGCTTAAAATAGGGATATATAGAGCTTCAATCACAATATGGTTTAGGCTTTAGGGTTTAGGGGTTTAAATCATAATATGAAGCCCCTTATACTTGAAGCTATATTTCTTGTTTACTGTGTGTTGGGCTCTCTGGGTTCAGCATAGAACCCAGGGACCCCTGCACCCCATAAACCTTACACCTAAAAGCCGCAGCACCAAACTTGTCCCTCCTTCGAAGTGAGATGGATTTAGCCATCGAAAGGGTTGTAGGGATTTCAGAATTTTTTGTAATTTTTATTGAGGGAGTTTTATAAGTTTTGGTGGGGTGTAGCTGAATCCAGGACTTGCTGCAAGGCTTCCTGTCTGAGCCCGAGGATACGCATGAGCCCAGGACACAGCAAAGAGGATTTTTAGGGTTTGGGTTTAGAGCCTGCTCTTTGAAGGGCTGCAGTGGGTTTAGGGTTTAGGGTTCAGGGTTGAGGGTTTAGGGTTAGTTCCGTGCCTTTAAAGGGGGCGTTAGGATACAAGGGGAGCTCCGAGGGTGTGGGGTGTTGGGCTGGGCCAAGCAGGCTCGGGACTCAGGCCTTCGTCTCTTGTATATCAAGTGGTTTAGGGTTTAGGGTTTAGGGTAAGCCGCAAAAAAAAGAATCCTGGGGTTCCCTAGGTTTCCTGAAAGAATTACAGTGTAGCATGCCAAAGAACTCTATTCTAACTCTAATTGTTTAGGCACCGTCTTCAGGCAAGCACCAGAGGCGTTCGATATAGGGGCCTTAAGAAATCACCTATACTATCTTGGGGGTTCCTTATTATAGTTATCGTATAATGGGTTCCAACACCGAAATCTAATTATCAAGGCCCCTATATTATGGAGAAAGGGAAGACCGGATGAGTCCAACAAGAAGCAACGAACTTGTTATCCTGTCCACGCGAGGCCTTAAATCCCTAAACCCCAAAAATCCCAGCATCCTAAATCCCTAAACCCTAAGAACCCCTAAATCCTAAATCCCTAAACCCCCAAAACCCCAAAAAACCAATCACGGCAAGAAGCCGCAAGCTTCAAGGCCCAGTTTCCAGCTTCGCGGATGAAGTTGGAAGACTTGCGACCCCCTGCCCCCTTAAAAAAAAACGCGCTGCGAAGGCCTGAGTCATTATAGTATTCCCCAAGGCTTTCGTGGGTTTAGGGTTCAGGGTTTGGGGTCTAGGAAAAACCGCAGAGCCTGATTCTCATGGTTCAGGCCAAAGCCAAAGCCTGACGTTCCTGCAGGAACCGGCCTGCTCCTATTTCTGGCGATGGCGGGATGTACTCCTCTGAGAGCGAACCTGACGAGTGAGACTGGCTCCAAAGAGGGCTGCCAGGAATGCTCGGCGCCAGAGAAATTCCGACTAGGGTTTAGGGTTTAGGGTTTAGGGCTTGCTAGGCATAGAAGAGGTCTGAAGTTGTAGTGCCAGTCGATGTCATCATCGACGTCTTACTAGCAGCAGTAGCAGTAGCAGTAGCGGTTGCGGTAGCCGTAGCGGAAGCAGAAGCGTACTACAAAGGCCTACGGCCTACGGCCTATTGCCTATACTGCCTCCTACTGCCTACCCCCTCCCGCCCGCCATCAGTACCGCTGTTGAATGCTGACAGGAAGACGAGCCCCCAAGAATCCACGTCGCCCTAATGCACTAGCTGAACCCAGAAAGCGCAATACCGTGACGTATGCAATATACCTTAAATCATACGTAGGTTCCCTTACATAAGGGGATATTGAGCTCTCCGGAAAAGCCTACCCCCATACCCTTCTGTGGCTGTAGCTGTCGATTTGACAGCAGGAGCAGAAGGGCCAACACTACAATCAGAGCCGCGCACCCTGACAGCCCAAAGCCAAAAGCCCTGAACCCTAAACCCTAAACCCTAAACCCTAAACCCTAAACCCTAAACCCTAAACCCTGAACCCGAAGCCCCAAACACCAGAGAAGCGCAAAGCCCGAAGCGCTCAGCACCAAAGCCTCAGCCTCATAGTCATCCTTATAGAACCGCTCAAGGTCGCCCAAATGTATCCCTTGTATCCCCTTATACTAGAAACCCGAAACCCCAAACCCCAAA